CATTTGGGTCGCCAGTTTTCTCAAGGAACGTAGCATTAAGGTCGTAGTCGACGGTGCATGCTCTGATTTAAAACCTTTGAATGCTGGTGTCCCGCAAGGCTGTGTACTATCTCCGACTCTGTTTCTTCTGCATATCAATGATATGTTACAGATAAGTAATATTCATTGCTATGCGGACGACAGTACAGGATATACATTATATACCGGTCATGCAAAGATCTCGCGGGCACATACCGATGAGTGCCGGAATAGACTTGTGTCTGAAATCGAAACTTCACTCCATCAAGTTTCAATCTGGGGTGAACAAAATCTTGTCCAATTTAACCCCAAAAAGACACAAGTCTGCGCGTTTACCGCAAAAAAGAATCTCCTCACTTTCAGGGCACTTCCCTTGATAAAAAGTCAAGTCTAGGAATTCTGGGCGTTGATATATCTTGCGACGTCCAGTTTTGCGGTCATCTGGAGGAGAAGGCTAAGATAGCTTGAGTGCTCAATAGGGTGAGACGATATTTCATGCCAGAACACCGCCTGAAATTATATAAAGCCCAAGTCAGGCCGCATATGGAATACTGTTCTCACCTATGGGCAGGAGCGCCACAGTACCAACTCCTTCCGTTAGACCGCATTCAAAGTCGGGCGGCTCGAATTATCGATAGTCAACGCCTTACTGTCCGACTTGACCCATTGAAACTGCGCAGAGATGTTGCGTCTCTGTGCATCTTCTACCGAATTTATCATGGGGAGTGTTCTGAGGAATTGTTCGGATTGATACCTGCTGCTGATTTTCACCACCGTACAACCCGCCACAAACTAAAGTTTCATCCCAATCATCTGGACGAGTGGCGGTCTTCCACCGTGCGTTTTTCAAGGCACTTTCTTCCACGCACAACCATTCTTTGGAATCAACTTCCAGCAGCAGTATTTCCGAACCGATACGACAACATAACCTTCAAGAAAAGAGTATATTCCTTTTTAAAAGGCCGGCAGCACACCTGCAATGCCGCTGGTGTTGTGGGTGATCATGGGCGGTGGTAGTCACTTACCATCAGGTGAGCCGCATGCTCGTTTGCCCCCTGTGTTGTAAAAAAAAAAAAAAATCTAAATTCATATTTATAAAGGTATATAAATATATGAAGAGAAACAATGTAATTTATAATTCAATAGCATCTCTGCTGATGCGTGAGTGAGCTATTGTTCGAGAGTTATACTAAATTAACTCTAATTTAAGGAGATTTAATTTAGTTTTAATTTCGTCCTTCCCACGACAACTCGAAATTGTAACCGCTCGTTAGATATTACTACTGCTTAATTTCCCTCACTGCCTCCCATTCTGTTAAGGAGAGAAGTAATTTCATTTATATTATTACTCCTACTTAATTTTTGTTCCCAGAAGTTAAGTAGGTTTTAAAATATACTCAAACTCTTTCATTGAGAATGCTTTGATTAGGTGGGGTGTTACTTACTTTATGTATATTAAAATAATGCAATATTTTTTTTATATTGAAGTATTGTTAAAATTATGCCGACAGCCACCTTTGATCATCTCACTGCTCGCCACCAACAAGGAATTCATCCTGACATGCTTGAATCTAAATGGTCACGTAGTATACGGTTTCAAAGGAATTTTCTCAGGCTGTAGAATGAGCTCCCTACCGAGGTTTTCCCTGGAGACTATAGTATGGGGTTCTCCAAAAAGGTATTTAGGTTTCTTCAGGTTCGGCAAACCGCACCATATACCCCGTAGTGTTACAGGCTTCTATAGGTTGCAATGACCGTTTACTATTAAATGGGCTGTATGCTAACACCTTCGTGGTATAAAAAAAGTGGCATTCCTTGAGTGAGGGTTAAAACTTTCTTAACCATCTTCATGATAATTAGTAACCGCTCTCTGTAGACAATATTGCATAAATTGCGTCGCTCATGACATTATCTTATGACAAACTTTGGACTTTGCAATTTGTGCTTCTTCTTAATGTTTGAACTTAGAAAAATTTATTAAATTTTAAGAATGGCGGATTTCGATTTATGCCGTCATTGAATACGTGTAAACTGTGTATGTAAGTAGGTGATTTTACGAAGGCCGCTCTTAAAAACTATTAAAAAAATAATTCTACTTTTTTTTCTTCTAAGAAATTAGTAATTGAAATTGATCACTTTGTCATTATTTCTTTAATTACACGAAATCGCACTCTTGTAATGACAAATTCGCAAAAACTTTCTTTAAAATCATTGAATTCTTTGAAATGTATTATCTTCTACAATTTTAATAAACAATTTCGGTCAAACGTTCATTTTTGGACCGAAACGGAACTTTGTATAAATAAGAGCGTTTCAATATAATCCTAAAGATGGCAGCGGGAGGTTAAGAGGGTGACGAGACAAAGGGCGCCATCCCCGGCCCCACTTGTTTGTACGCCTAATGAAGTGGGCAGAGCGCCCTTGGCACATTAACATACAGTTACAGCGGCCATCGGTGAAATGCGTGCTATACGTGTTGTGCCGAGTCGACCTTTTTGGTATTTGAATATTTCGGTACTTCTTAAAAATGAATCAAATACTGTTTCAAGTGTACTCTAGTACTTGTAATGTAAATTGGACTCCTATTTTCGTACTTTATCAGACTAGTGTATTTTTTTTTTTATTTATATCTGAAGTTTACATCAATCATCATGATGAATCTCATATTTTTGTTTACGTAATTAAAGAACATATTAATATCAATTCTATATTAAAAACAGAAAAACTTATGATAAAGACAAGAAACGCATATTTAAATACCGTGTCAGATACACGGTAATTCTCTATACCGAGTACATGCGTATCTATTATTTGAGTCGGTATTCGAGTCGGTATTCGAGTCAGGTTTACTCGGCACATCACTAGCTATACTCGCCCGGCTTGAGCTTTACGTTTCGGACGATAGGTTATCTATATCTATACTTTATGTGTAATAATGTTCAAGTACTTGTGAAGTGGATAGCATCACTTGAATGTTAAATTGATGAGGTCGTGATTCTAATTACTTCAAGTTTCAGTGCAGCTATTTTTTGTATCATTTATCCGAGTCCGCTAAGACGAGAGGATATTGTATTTATAACATTTTTTAATTTCGAGGTAAAATTTAGCGCGGAAACGCGGAAAATGTAAAAACAAATTACAATCTCTCTATATGTTGTAGAAAAAACATCATGGTGGCTAACACTTCCCATTAAGGGGTTTTATTTGTTGGACATTTAAATCCAATAAAATAAAATAAATTACGATTTTTCTATCGGTACAGCAAAATAGATAATATAGTTATTAATTTATATCAAAACAAATGATTGTACTGATTTTTTTTTAGAATAGAAAATATTTATTGCCTGTGTAATGGCTGAAATGATGATGAATGATGACAACACATAGTTGCAACAGAAAATATAGAAATGTATATATAAGTAGTATTTCAATTAGGTAAACTCAATTTAAAACATAATTTAATTTTTTTTGTAGTAATAAAAAGAATAGCAAGAGACTATTTACAATTTTTAATATATTTTTATGATATAACACTTATATAGTTTTTCAAATTACTATGGCTATGTGTATAATTGTATATAACTGCATTCCTTTGTCATTCTTTAATTTGCTTTTACTTTGAGACAATATTTTTAATGTCGAATGCTTAATAGAACTGGAAGTTGATAACTTTTGATTACGGAGACTGATTACTTATAATAATGGGGCCCTGTGAAAATGTCTATTTACCCATCAATGAGTTCATTTCGGACTCGTTCGGAAGGGCGGCTGTTGAAGGACATTGGGATTTAGCGTTGACGAGTTGAATCAAAGTCTAATTTGTGACTTGTACTTAACTTGTTTTTGATTGAGAATAGCTGATGGCTGATGGCTGCCGATTTACCTTAAAATTACTGCATAAAATAATATAGCATCTTAGTATATATATATATATATATATATATATATATATATATATATATATATATATATATATATATATATATATATATATATATATGTTCACGTCATCGTTTAGCCGATTTTCTTCGAAATCGTATTGTTTGCACCAATTTAAGTGACAGGATACTTTTTATCCCAATAAGAAAAAAATACTTGTTAGGTGGCAGTAGGGGGCACAACAACCTTTAGCGGGTCAACTAGCTACTATATATAGTTTTATTTTTTTATGGGATAGTAACCCCACCTGCGCTATTGTTATATGCTGGCAGGGCACCAGTGAGGGATGATAGGTGACAATGAAAGTAGGTCAGTTAGTCCATCGTAATAAACTAATTAAGTCGACAAAAATTAATCACGATCGTTTCTAGGGGGAACCGCGCGAAGGTCGACCTGATAGGGTATATTGCTAGTAATGGAACTTGTAAATCCCCAATATTAACAGTCCATTTCCTCCACTATATAGAGTTAGCAATATTACATTTTATCTGTGCGAAATGTAAGACTTCTTGCCCCAGTTATGTGCAATAAAGTAAGACTAACTATACGTGTGTAACCACGCGTGCGGGTTAAATCGCATTAACAGTTGTTATAATTATAAATATTGACGATTAACCGCCATCATCTCCTAATTAATACGTATAAAATTCTACAATCAAACTAAAAAGTAAAGTTTAACTTGTTTAAGATAAATTTTTAATATACTGAAGTAACGAAAAAAACATGAACGTAGTGTAGGACGACCCTTCATTAGATGGAGTGACGACCTCAAATGCATTGCAGGGAGTCAGTGGATGCAGGTAGCCTCAGGACCGTTCCTTATGGCGGTCTATGGGGGAGACCTATGTCCAGCAGTGGACTGATAATGGCTGAGATGATTATGATAATACTGAAGTAATAATTATTTTATAATGTAACATAAAAAATAAAATAATTTGGAAAAAAACATCTACCACTGTTTTATAAATACTAGAAGGTATTGGTAGTTAAGCGTCGATTTGTATAGTATTGTAATGGCTAAAATTACGATTGAAATTTTTTAGGTGTGCGCGCTATCTGCAAGGGAGCGAGTATCAGAATCCTTAGCGCTGACATATGCAGAGGCGCCGGGTCGGCCGCTGCCGGACGTGATCGCGCAGCCCGGCCTCTCGTACGACGAGGTCCTGCACGACGACTTCAGGTTCGACCTGAACGCACACGACGTCATGGTCTTCTTGCACATACAGAAAACCGGCGGCACTTCGTTTGGGAAACACTTGGTCATGGATTTGGACTTGAAGGTGAGTTTCAATCGATAAGAAAACTAAAATAACGTAATACATTCAGGCTGTTTCAATAGAAATAAAATGTAAACAAATGAACAATTGGTCCCGACCATCGACCACGTGATTAATTAATTTACTATTTCGATTTGTTCTTAATTTCATTTAGAGAGTGTTATTGTAATAATTTCAACAATAGTTGGACACGTTTTTATTAAATTCTATTGAAACAAATTAAAAAAGAGTTATTTACCCAATCTCGGAGAGAAAGTAAGAATTTTTAAATGTTTACACGGTTTTGTAGCCTCGTAGCAACTAAATAAACGACGAAATTTTGACAATTGATCATTATTGTAATTATCAATACATACGTATATACTAGTTCGTATATATATATATATATATATATATATATATATATATATATATATATATATATATATATATATATATATATATATATATATATATATATATATATATATATTATACCTATTTAACTTTGGAAATTAAACAGTCGGGGTTTTCACTCTATAATATGTTCAAATGTTAAACGAGCAAATGTTAGACGAGCGAATTTGGAATACGAACTTTTCTAATTTTAGCTTGAATTTTGTTCTAGTTTGTTACTCATTACATTTAGTGAAAGAATTAAAGCGCAGTACTGATGTATATATTACACAAAATAACGTAGTGGTACTGAAAAATTAATAAAGAATGAAATACCCGTCCTTTTATTTATTTATACAGAAATATATATACTGTACAAAGGATAGAGCAGAGATTTCCGAGTAGGTGTCCATCGCCGAGTTGGCAATCAATATAATTCATTATACATGCACCGTTTTAAATACTTTAGATAGAAGGCTTTGTTGCTGATACATATACAACGTAGACCCATTGTAAATAGAAGCCAAATTATATTTTCTATAAAAAAAAATAGTAATTCAATCTGTTTAGTTTTGATAGTTTTGAATTCTTACCTGAATTATCAGTATCCAGATATCAATAGCCAAATTAAACAACATTTTCAATGTATAAAATATTCACCGCTTATGTGAAGTAATAAAAATCACTAATTAAATATATAGAATCCTGTGTAATTGAATTACTCCATATATCCATTGTAAGGATTATATAATTAACCCTTTTTTTATACGACTTAGAATGGCAAACAAGCTGACGGCCCACCTGATGGAAAGTGGTAACCGTCGCCTATAGACATGAGCAGTACCTTGGACATAATAGTACACACACATACTGTTTCGCCCATGACACCCCCCATGCGTTGCCATTCCTGAGGAATCAGGTGTTATTCCTCTGTACCCTGTAAATTCATGCCATATCCCACCCTTCAAGCCAAAACACAGCCATGCAAACACAACTGCTTCACGGTAGAAACACGAATGGGACAGAGGTACCCAAGCAATCGACTTTTGTACAAAGTCTCCCTCTGGTTAAATCCTATGTAATTATCCTTAGCCAACACTTGCAAATTTTTTTGTGACTTAAGCTATTTGGACTATTTCCCAGGCTTTCTTGAATGAGACATGGTGTATATGTTGTTGTATGAGTTATTATGCATTAGCACATATATTGGTGCGTGTTCTATATCCGACTTCGACGAAAAAGATCTGTATAGAGTAGTCACCATTTAACATTTACAGAGGTACTCTAAACCAACTCGCCCACACTTCTGTATTACAAATACAGCCTGTATTTATAATAGCTATGCAGATTCTGCACAAATATTCGCATTTTGACTGCATTTATTCTAACTTCATTATTTTTATACCTACCTCTCGCTCCCTTATAATAATAGTGTGATTTAATAAATTATCGAACGCTCACTTTTTTGACAATTTTTTTCAAGTTGTTTCCTTAAATGTATTAAAAATGTATAAACGATAATGTATTATCCTTATCGTATTTATACCTTATCACATTAATCAAATAGTAGTTAAAAAAAGTTTTTATTAATGTCAATAATGTAAATGTGATAAGACTGATACGACAATAAAACGTTTAAGTACATGTTATTTACATAATACTTGCCACGTGCTAAGACTTGTATTTTTGGATTTTTTATAATGTATTTTTAAAATTAATACTGATCTTAGTAGATTATGCATGAATATATCATGAAGTTAAGATTGTATCAACAACTCAAGAAACTGTAAACGCAACTGCTCGGTGCCAAAACACTAGTGGAACGATGCTATGGGTAGCATCTGGCATCTGGCAGATGATTTTTGTATAAAGTCTTCCTCCAGATTATAGTAAAATTTTGGTTTTGGTTTGTGCAATAATAGATCAATCTCAAAGGTACTGGAGTTCGCTGATACCACAAAGTTACACAAAGTTAGTTAGTTAGTTTATTATTATATCAGCTGTTTTTTTGTTCACTGCTGAACATAGGCTTCCCCCATTAGGGGAATTTTGCCAGTAGTTGCCACGCTTAGCAGATGGGTTGCCAACCGCAGTTAGGCTTTGGTGATGTTTACGACGATGATATTTATGTGAGATGCTGCTGCCTATCCCTCGGTTGTTCCTTCCTTTAGTAGTCTCTTACGACACCCACGGGAAGGGAAGGGGTGGTACATTCTATGACTGGATCATACGATAATTATTATTAACAATTTTTTAAAGTTTTTTAGCTTTGTAGTATTTAAAGTTGTATGTTATAGTTATTTATCTACTTGTGTCTGTTTTCATGTTAAGTCCATTGTGAGATAGAGGTTTGCAGCGAGAGATATAGACGGAGAGAGAGAGAATAAGAGAGGTATTTATTTGTACTATTATTATCATAGAAAAGAAAAAGAAAACAATTTTTCCGTCATGAAACTTATGCTAGTGGAATTCTTACCATTTTTGTTCATTCTACGAGTACTTTCATAGTTTATTATATTGCACTTGAATCTAGCGTGCTATTCACCAAGAGCGAGGTGTCTTTTGTTTTCGCCGCTACACCGTCTGACATCAAAGGAATCAAAAGACGAATCAGCCTCTATCAATTTTAAACGCGAAAATCTCCATGAAAAATCTCAGGGGACGTGGCAGACATATGAAACAGGAGCGGAGAGGGCTATTAAAGAGAGCGCGCGTGCGGTGACTTCGCAGAATTGATGGAAAATGGCGGAATCGTTCAAAGAAAATGCCGCGTCACGTTTCGGCGCGTGACTGTGTGCTTAAACTTTAAAAACCCCTGTTAAGAAAATCGCTTATAAGAAACTTAACACTTGTATTTGTGGGGTTTTTCAATTAAATGTAAGGATAGAGACCATTGATTCTGAATTATTTTTGTCTACCTCTCTTCTCTCGGACTTAATGCTAGGCACGGGTACACACGGTTATACTACCTCTAATAAAAAGATAATAGGTTACTATTGTCTAATATTATACTTATGATAATATAGATCATGTTCTAGAGTCAAATGTCTCCAGAACTGGCGAGCCTGTATGAGACGAGATATGAAAGTGCAGGGAGGATTAGATATTTTTATTACCAATTATTATATATTAGTGTTTTATATCTGACTAGTTAAATATGTAATCGATTTTTTTTATGATGTCCTCGCTATTCGTTATTACAATTAGGTGTTGATTTGGTAATAATTGTATTGTATATAAAATATTTTTATAATGTTTGGGATCTTCCAGGCACTTTGACCCGAACGGAGACTTTGTATAAAAGTTGTTTGCAGAAGTACCTAACTTCTGTCCCGTTTATGTTTCTACCGTGAAAAAGTTGTGATTGCATGGCTGTGTTCGGTTTAAAAGTGTGTGAATGAAAATGCATGGCAATGAATTTACAAGGACAGAGGCATAACACCTTAGTCTTCAGAAATGGCAACGTACGGGTGGCATCACCATCAGCGAAACAGTATACTCTGTTATGCATGTCTATAGGCGACGGATACCACTTTCGATTAGATGGGCCGTCTGCTTGTTTGGCATTCTAAGTTGCATAAAAAAACTTTAAGATAAATTACTACTCGTATATTATGTAGCACCTGGTACTATAGCGAGACAATTTTTCTGACAATTCTATTGAGAGTATCTATAAAGAGTATTGACCTTTATTCTTATGTACAATACATATCTTGCTTCGTCCACTTTTTTAATGAGAGGCGACTGCGTACTATACTTCCTCGAGACCGATAACTATTACGAAATTATTATCATTCTACTTTCACAACATTAATATTATTTGGACAGTATGATAGTGATTTATTTATGACTTAAAACGCTATAAGGGACATTAAAGGTTCCGCAAGCTAATTGATAAAATAACTGATCAAGTGCGAGTATATTTCGTTCACAAAAGGTTATACAATAAAAATTCATATTTAAATGTTTTCTCTGGAATGGCTCTTTGATTTATTAAATTTAATCCTTCATAAAAATTTCGTAGAAATAAAAAGGACGGAAATTAAAAAGTAAGGACATAAAGAAAAAAATGTGTATCCCATTTTTCTTCAGATCTTTTAAAATGCGTTTCACTCCTACATTTTTCTTATAAAGGTAGCATGAATAAAATTAACCTCGATTTTTTTTTGTGTCAACCTTTGTCAAATTTAAATCAAAGTACATTGAACATTTCTCATTTATCATTCAAAGATTGCTTGTTTCGAATTATATAGATTCGTGCGGGCAATATCATGGTAAGAGATAACTGTTGATTTACAATTTTAATGTATCTTCAGCTTAAACAAACCATTAAACTGATGATTTGTTCGAAATTGACTTTTTCTTAATATAAAACTCGGTTCTGATTTCTCGTTATCATTCTCATCCATCAATGTTAATGGAGTCTTAGCAAACTTATGAAGTGTCATTTTGCTTAAAACATTATCATAATTTCTTGGTCTAGAGAAAATTCAATATAGAATCATATTTACCAGAGGGAGACTTTGTACAAAAGTCGATTGCTTGGATACCTCTGTCCCATTCGTGTTTTAATCGTTAAGCAATTGTGTATGCATGGCTGTGTTTCGGTTTGAAGGGTGGGATATGGC